TTTTCAATGACTACTTATTTTTGTCCAGCTTTAACATCGGTATCGATATCGGTTATCGGCTACATGAGTTTTAAAATATCGGCATATCGGCCAAAATCCCAATATCGTGCATCACTAAGTTTAATGTCTCCACCTAGTGCCCGCCTTGTTAAATAATTATGACTTTTTTTCAAGGACTAAATGTTCAGCAAAAAATGGAGGCTGTTTTTTAAAGAAAACATTCCATATAAATAGTCTTAATTTAAGTTTATAAGTAACTGTTAACCATGAAAGCCGTCTATGCATTAAAGCCACATTTGTTGTTTGTGAGCGCTGAAGGACCACTCTGGCCGCCCTGTTTGGTGCCAGCTGAAGCTTGTGAAGCTCACTCTGTGAAGCAGATGTCCATATCACCGAGCAATAGACTATACAACCTGTTTAGCAATAGCAGCGGGTATAAATGAAACACATTTCTTCACCATCGTAATGCCTTTACCCGTTTTAGCCACAATACCATCTATATGAGCAGCCCAAGACGGGCGTGAGTCAAACTTTTATTTTGTTGTTAATTCAACGGACCTTATGGCAGAACCGAAAAACACCTGAACTCCCAACACATAACTTTTTTAGTTACCAGTAGGTGGCGGTGATGTACGCCTTCAATTTGTTGCCAGCTGCCATTAGAATCCACAAGAAGAAGAACTTTTTCAGTTAGCACCACCAAAATGGAAACGTTTGTGTTATTTAGAGAGAATCGGCGCATTTCATGGAGAGCTGATGATCTGACCGTCAACAAGATCTCTTTAATATTCCACGTTCCAAGTCGGCGTCCGACACGTCGTTGTGCTCCATATAAACCTTCTGACACTCATTACCGATTAATGTGGAGCTCCATGGCGGCCCAGAGCATCACTGATTTCAGAGTGTGTTTTTCTCTCTCAAAAAGTTCGATAATCGATGCAGAAAACGGTTGAAGTGCAGCCATTGCCTTTTGTTTAGAAATGGTTTGTTTTGATGCCGTCTTCATCCGCCGTAGATGATTTTTCTTTGGTGACTTGCTTCATTTCTGGTGCCGCTACGTATTAAAACAACAACCGTATTTTATTTTCATTTAGATGGAAAAACAAAAGTCAAACGCTGTTGATTTTCTAATAATTCGATTTTTCATTTTTTTCTATTTAGGTTTTAAAAAAAAGGAAACACAGAAAAATCACATGCTTGTTTTGGTTTTTTGTTTTTTTGTTTTAAAATGAAAAAACCAAAGAACGAACCTTACATAGATTCTTTCTTCACTGTGTTCTTCTCCTCAACCTAAACCTGAGCT